AGGCTGGTAGATTTCCTACCTCATGTTGTCTAAGCTGACGACAGGAGAATATTTGACATTGGCAGGGCAAGGCAATTGTCTTCGCAGTTCTATAGTTGACGCCTTCGCAGTTCCAGTTGGCGGCCAGTTGGCGGGCCGCCAGGCCTTGGCGGCCTGGCGGCCCGGTCAGTGTGCACCGGCGTCCACAGCAGCGTCGTTCCCAGCGGTTTCGTTTCTGGCTCTTGCGGGTGTTGGAATGCGGTGGCTATCAGTTCATCGCCTTCTGTTGATGGTCAAGGTCATTGCCTTATCAGCCCCGATGACTGGCGGCTTCGTGCATTGGAGTCGTGCTTTATATAATATTTGATTTATAATTATTGTTTTCTGCTAACTCTGGTGCCTTCTGTTGACGTGACTTTTAAATAAAAAAAGTAAAGTGCAAATGCCTTCCTGGTCAGGAATTTCCGGGGCACCATTTTTATGTATCATAATCGTCCCAAAACCAATATGACAACTTTAATTTAACTATTTAATAGATGAATGCATAGTTCTTAAAAAAAATGAAAATGCTTTTGCTTCCTCTTGGACTTTCTTTTCTCTTTTTATCTTGTCCCACTTTACCCCCTTTTTCCCTTTACCCCCTTTACTCTCTTTACCCCTTTATCTTGTCCCCCGTTGGTCCGGCCCCCTCCGAAATGAATTCCTGCGTACGCCACTGGGTTGTTTCATTGACAAATCGTTTCATCGACAGCTCAGATTAGCCTTTTTTTTTTTAATAAGCTACATGAGACTGTCGCCGCGAAGCGGCGTGTAGGCGTCGTTCAGGGGGGTTAAATTTTTGTAATGAACCACCGCAGAGTATTGCCGCGAAGCGGCGTGAACGCAGGCGGCGGGTGGGTTGACGTGAATCCCATTGACACACGCGTGACGAACCGTCCCTAGAGCGTGCAATTCGCGTAACGAGTGTCGATGAAACGTTCGTGTCGACGAAACGTGTGTACATGAAACGTGCTTCGACGAAATGATAGGGAAGCTCGAGCTTCCATAGCATTCATTTGACGACATCAAATTTCTTATAATCAGGTGCGAACAAGTTTTCCTGCCGAAACGGTTAGCCTGCGTTCTCCCGACATCAATTTTTCAGTGTCTGCAATAAAAACTTCTACTCTCTATAAAAAAAGAAGAAAAACTACGGGAAAAATATTTTAAATTACGTGTGTTCCTAGTTCAGCCATGCCTAGTTGTGTTTTAATTTAAGCTAATGATTGAGGCAAATTAGTAACAGCTAACCTGTATGGTCCGATTGTGAAAGGTAAAACCGGCTTTTTAGGCCGCATAAACTCCGGTTTGCAGAAAGCTGCAAGTTCGTCAGAATGTGAAGCAAAAAAAATTTATGCCTGACTGAGAATGTTTCAGAGCATAAACAAGCATAAAGTGAAGTGGTTCAAAAGTTAATAGAAAATGAGGACTGACCTTTACGAGCAGACGTCGAACCCGGAGAAAATTGGAACAATCGCGTCTGCTTCGCAACGCCCCACATAGATGGCGCCACCACTCTGTCAGTGTAGCGTCACCATGTTTTCGATTTGGTTTTGGCGGCAAGACGGAATCGTTCGATACTTTCTGGTTTTTAACTTCAACACTGCTTTTTACTTCAGCGAAAAAAACAAAAAAAAAATATAAACTGCGATACTTGGCTGCATTTGCTCAGATATAACATATCTCCAAATATTTATTCTAGCAGATGTCGTTAGTTTTGCTTGCTCTTCGGGGACCCGGACACCGGCCCTCCCTTTGTTCGCTCTTATCTTCCGTCGTAATTGGCCGGACTGCCGTGCCTCATGAGGAAACGAACTCAAAAGCAACGCGCGGATATCGTGCTGTGGTACTCATAGGATAGAAGCTTCAGGAAGGGTCGCAGTCATTACTGAAGCAAGCACCATTACAGGCCACCGTCGAAGACAACCATCTGGAAGTGGGTCCTGCGTTTCTGGGAGGTGGGCAGCAGCGCCAACAAGAAGCACGCCTTCGCCCATAGAGTTATTATAATGTACGCTAGAAGTTCAAGTGGCGCTAGTGTGCTGACGCAAATTAAAGCAGGCAGCAACCAGTCGAAAATTGACTTCCTGTAATGCATTTCTATGGGAAAGGGTGAGTGCATTTACTCTCTGTGCTAGATCATAAGAGCACATTTTCGCAATAATTCGTACCTGCTAGGTAGCTTGGAACATTTCTCAGTCAGACAAATAAAATTTTTGGTCAGTTACGGCGTTTTTCGTTCGAATTCATCGCATTAAAAACGGTGCTGAAACGGCTTCGTACGTGTATTTATGTGTACTGTCGGACACTGTTAGCGCGAACACGACGTCGGCGCGTTTCAGTATGAGGAATATACGTGCCAAACGAACAAGGGAGATCTGTAAATTAAGGGAGACGGGAAGAACTACGCAGCGACACTGTATCAGTAAGCACCCGTGCATGTACGATCAAAATTAATTGAAGGCCATGAAATATATTCCGATTTTAAATAAGCAAGTACCACTTAGTTTTTTCTGCTCGTAAGGATGTGCGATGATCTTTGTTCTGCGTTGAATACATCACCCGCACGCTCGAAATCTTTGAGAAGAAGTGCCAGATAGTAGCTGCCCGGCAGAGGAAACAATACGAAGAGACACCTTTCATAGCCCACGTACTTTATTCTTTATTTGAATGTTGTTGTTTTCCGCTCATGCACAACGGGTCATTTTCGTATAGTGACAGGACTTGCATATTATCAATATATAAGCGTCACCGGGATGCTGGCGAGCCTTGAACACACTCTATATTCCTTTCGATTGTTATTTTGCTTTGAATCGTGGCTTGTTTTTTTACACACCCGCTGCGGGAAACATGTTTGGGACTGAAGTGTAGCGAAGTTAAACATCGTTCACCGATAAAGAAAAATGCGCTAACTAAAGCAATTACACTTTTAGAATGTTAATCAATGTACATACAATTCGGTACGACCGAAATAACCAAAGCGTTCCGTGTTAGTTTACGGCTAAGAGACAGAATGCACGCGCGTTTTCAATGGATATGCACAGGAGCATCTCAAAGGCAGACTTCTTCCTGTCTGCTTCTCTTTGCGTCACGGAAGTCCCATAGACACTAGCGCCAGTTGGACCTCTAGCGTACATTATAATAACTCTATGCCTTCGCCAGAAGGCCGAAGAAGGAACAAGTCTTCTAGCGGGATCCTGGACGCGTTCCAAGAGGACCCGCGTCTATCAACGGAGAGAGCGAAACATTTGTGTTGTGTCTTCGACTCTACTGTGCGTCTGATCCTTCATCAGAACAACATGCGAGCCTACAAGATGCACGTCTTCCATGAGCTGAAGCCTTAGGACTATGGGCAATGGCAGAACTTCTGCCTCGATGAGATTCCGAAGATCGGGTCCAACCCCTCCCATCTGGAGTTCCTTCTTTCGTCATCGCAGGAAAACACTCCAAGTCTCACTGTTGAAAACAACCTCTCCATGTAAAAGGTTTCTTTTTTTTTCTTTTTTTTTTTTCATAATTTTCATTTATTTGGTGACGAGATCGTTTGGTGGCGCCACCTGCCGGGCGCTCTCCTGTGACGGGGCGGCTAGGATCCAAGCAGACGTCGCGCTATGTAAAGTACAGAGTATATATGTTGGTTCCCATCTATGCCGATTAAAAACGGTGCATTTATTGAAGTAACGTGTATGATGTTTTCGCGAGATATCTTTCCATTTAATAAGCACTCCTCGGTGTTGCTTTTTATATCGAAAACACATTAAAATTCTAAAAGAAGTCTGCAGCTCCATATTGCAACTTGCGCGGCGGGCGGCACGGCTGTTCACAGCCCCTCTGAATCTTGCTTTTTCGGATGTGTGAAGGCTTTTGTAACAAAACGTTTTGAATTCAGCCAAATAAATGACGTGCTGTCTTCCTAGCTTTGCGTCGGAAGCTTGTGTTAGCTAAATTAAGCTTGCTGATGCCGACGCTTCTATCCAGGTGTAACTCGACAGTTGCTCGTCAGCAAGTGGCCCTTAGCTCCTCCCGCATCGAATACGTGGCAAAGAAGTTTGTCACACTGCGAGTTCTGCTTAAATAAAAAACAGATATTTTCATAACTTATATTGTCTGTCGTGGCCTGGCAAATTCACGTGATTCATTAATTTGTCTATCCAAATTTAGCTGAACATTCTATTACAAATTTAATATCGCTCGCTGAGAAGTGCATCACGCATTATGCGCAATTCTTTGGGTCCGCAAAATCAAACATTCAAACGGTAGTAACTCATAGCAGGTGTATACCCCATTTTTCGGGGCCCCGAAGTGTCATCGTCTTAGTAGATTAGACGTCGATCACGAAGGGCCTCGAATGTTTCGTGTCGGCCGGGTGACCAAGCAGGCATTTGTTGAAAGGGCTCCCGAAGCCCGCCACCGCTTCTTCCTGCCAGTTTTTGATGAAATCTTTACTTACTGGTTTACAGAATCCCAAAAGGAATCAACTTGGAATTAATAAGGAACCTGCATTCAGAAAAGACATTGGAACCAAGAAGATACATTTGGGGTCCTAAAGCGTTCGACGAAAGTAGTGGCGGCAAAGGCTGCTAGACTGTAAAAAATGACCGTGAAATAAACAGTCACCTGACCGTGAACGTCACGGGGCGCCCACCGTAAAAAAAAATACGGTATGTTGACAGTGTTTTTCGAGTGAAAAGGGTACGGCGACGGGAGGAAAGAAGTGGAACGAGAGAAGGCACGGCGACAGAAGGAAAGAAGCGGAACGCCCCAAGCGAGGCGCGCTACACACTCTGCACCACGCTCCAGACACACGCACGGCACGCACGTGATGTGTTGGGGGCCTTCTGCGCCTGCGTCGTCGGGCTGCTCTCCAGTTCGCGGCTCGCGCCTTGACCCTCGCCCACAGCCCTCGCCATCGCGCTTCCTTGTTTTCGCACCTTCGCCTGCCTTCGCCACCTTCGCTGCATTCGCGCCGTTCCCACCGTCGGGTCGCCATATTTGTTTCCCGAAGGAAGAAAACAAAGCGAGGAAAGTTTGCGGTAGGGAGCTCGACCGTGGCTACCAAGACGGCTGACGGCGCAGTACCCGAGGCGTTTGGCGGGCCCGATAGTAAACGAACATAACGTGAGTATCATTTTGAAAATGAATGTGGCAAGCACGATCCGATTCTGAGGAAATTAATGCCCGTGGCCGGCAAGATCGAGAAAGAGCCGACACCGACAAACCGGCAGCACGTGCGTTGACGGAGTGCGTCGCTGGCCGGCTGGCGATCGTCGTTCGCGCTCCTTTTCGGGAAGGGAGCACAAGCGGTTGAGAGCCAGCCAAAGATAGCTTCAGATTAATACTGCACATTCTCGCGATTTGTCGGTCTTCGCTCTTTTCTCTCGCTTTAGTGAGGCGACGGCTTGAACAACCATGTTTGTTTGCCGTGTTTGTTCAAAGGGGTCAACCACGTTGGTCGAATATGTGCGTCATTATGACAGCCACGAGTTCGGAGCGCGGCAGATTCTATGTATACACGCAACTTGTTGTTTGCAGTTCACTACTTATGTAAAGCTCAGATCTCACATATTACGGTTTCATAAAGGTCAACTGCGTGCGAGTGGACCTCGGCTCGATTTAACGGGTGACGTAAACTTAAACTGCGGCGTGCACGGATGCGTTCGCGAGTGCTGGAATAGGGCTCAGATAGTAACTCATCTTAGCGAGCACATCGACAACGGGCAGTCAGTCAGTTGCCCGTATTTTAGCTGTGACAAGTCGTTCACTGCGAAACCTACGTTTGCGTCTCACCTATCAAGTGTAAAATCAGCCCAACAAGCGAGCGGTTCTTCGGAGCAACAGGCAAGCGCCTTAGGCGCAACCAGTTCTTCAGGGCAACAGGCAAACGTGTTAGTTGCGACCGGTTGTCAGAGCAGCGCTTCTCCAAAAGATGCAAGCATGGAGGATGCTAACTCTCGAGGTGGCACCCCTCAGTTTTCACCATCTCCAAGTGAGTTAAAAGAGTGTGTCGAGTATGATCTGGCTCTCTTTTACCTAAAGCTAGAATCTAAGTACTGCTTACCTGCTTCCACAGTTCAGCATTTGTGGCAAGAAATCGAAAACCTGCATGGCTCGAGTAAGCAGTGCATGTTTAAAGCCTTGCATGACAAGTTGGATGAACGCCAGGGGTGGCTGATGCTAAAGAAATTGTTGCGGATGCAAACAGCCACGATGTATTCAGCAGTCTGAATGCTACCGTGTTCAATAGTGAACACAAAAGAAGAGCCTACTTTAAACAAAAGTTTTCATTTGTCCAGCCAGTGCAGATTTATCTTGGGCGTGATGGAAACAAGAGTGGTCGCTCATTTCAATATGTGCCGGTACTGGAAAGCTTAAAAAGCCTACTGCAGAATGGTTCGCTTGCTGACTGCATTTTTAACACGTCTTTAGATGACAGGGACGCGAGCTACATGCAAGACATATCAGACAGACGGTTCAGCCTACAAATCAAATCCTCTCTTTAGTACTGGGCTGCCAACATTTAAGCTACTGCTGTATCAGGACGCTTTTGAGGTTGTGAATCCTTTGGGATCCGCAAGGAAGAAGCATACTATTTACTATTTTCTCATTTTTAAAACTTTTGTAGGGGATGATCTGTGGACTGCCCACGAGTACGCACTCAGCATTGATGGCAGGCTCATGGTTCAGAAGATACCAGACGTCCCTACGGCATGGGCTGCACTCTTCGCGACTCACTATTGCTTTAACATCTGCTACGCTGAAGGCGTGTCATCGACCCTTGAGTTCCTTCAGAGGTAATTTCCTGTTCTGTGAATTCCGTATATGTATGTGGATGCCTAGTAGGACTCCATACTTTTTATCGATATCATTTCCAGGCTTATTGTTCTTATTGAAATAAAGCAAACACCTTGCACATTTACTGTCATGAAAGACATGAAGCCACAGTTGGTACCTTCCTTCTCATTTGTTAAATAGAAGAGCACATATCTCGCTGATTGGAAAGCTGTCCCAATTGCTTCCGCCAGCTCCAAACAACTATTGAGGAGTTTCAGCGAATATAGGGGGCGCTCCGATCTTTCCAACATGGCGGACAAGAGGGGGATAGATTTGCGACGCCCGTAGACCGGCAGCGTATGAATAGAACAAAGCGTGTCGTTCTCTGTTTGTTGCCGCGTGCAAGACGATCATCATTTCAACCAAGACCTACCGTGATGCTACAGATGAAGTGTTCAAGCCAGTCGAAGGCAAGAAATCTTGTCATAGTCAAGATATGTGTGCAAGTGTTCGACGTGAGCTCTCAGGCTGGTGCAGCTGTCATCAAGTTGAACCGAATGTACGCGGGTCCAAAGAAAGGTACTTATCAACAATGTTCGCGCGTTGAAACTATGACGCGTACTTTATCTAAAACTAAACTTATCGGTCTGCGGCTAAAAACATTTTCGTTGACGTTGCTTAGATGATGTAACCATTCAGGCCTCGCATTAACAGGTGTTGGGAACTCTTCGGTTGTTCTAATTAATTGTGCTAAAAAGCGGTTGGATGGAAAGTATAACAACTACAGCATACAAGGGACGATTGAGGTCTTTATCCTGCGTTCTATGTATCGAAACATTGGTATCCTTGGTGTTATATTGCGATCAGCTGGTCGCCGATCGTCCTGTTTTTACGCATAATGTAAACAAGCCCCGGAAGCGCCAATCTCATTTCGATGTGCTTGTGCACCCCTTACAAGCCTCGTTTTGGCTCTTGTGGAAAGCTTTATTGTAATAGCAATAGTCTCTTCGGTCATTCGAGTTGTATGTGCCACGGTGGTATCTGCTGTGTGTGATCTGCTGACATACAAATCTATTAAATGCGAGGAGGAGAACGAAGGTAAAGCTTTTTAACTGTTTTCTTTTAACAGAACAGGGCAAAGCTTCTAAAACAAGAGCAACCTAAGCTGATATTTGGGTGTGCTCAAGAATGAATTGCAAAAGGTGCTTATACTAAGTGGTAGATGTATGCAGTTGATTTTCTGTTTGCTTCTGCATTGTAAATTGGAAGATATGCATCAGCAGAAGACATGTGTCCTTTTCAAAATGTCTTTTATTAGGGCAAATAGGTTTTCATACACAACCGAAAAGTTCGCAACACCATTTAATTCGAGGCCCGAATGGTTACATGATCCAAGCAACGTCAACGAAAATGTTTGTAGCCGCAGACCGATAAATTTAGGTTTAGACAAGTATGCGTCATAGTTTCAGCCTGAAACACGCAACATTGTTGACATGAAACCTCTCTTGATGACAACTGCACCAACGTGAGAGAGCCCACATCATCGAACACTTGCACACATATCTTGACTATGGTATGCCAAGATTTCTTGCTTGAAGTGAAGATCATCTCGCTACGACTAGCTACGACCACCCACCGCAGTGATGCAGGCATCGAAGGGGCGCAACGCAGTCAGTCGCCGTCGCCGGACACTGCTCGTTTGGCATTCGCGGCTTTCCGCCCAGGTGCTTCGTTTGTACTTGGCACCGAGTGTTATTTTCTGTGCTTGTGTGTGCTCAGTGGCTGGATATGGGCCTCAAGAGCAGTTCTTCAGGCTCAATAGCATTCGCCGAAGAACGTCTCAAGAAAATGCCACCCAGGAAAAAAAGCACGAAGACGCAACGCACCAGCTTGGCGGACTATGCACTGGGCGCGGAAATCGGGCCCATCGAATTATACACCAAATGCAAACTATCTAAACAACACAAAAACATTTTTAAGCTCAAATTGGCTTCTGCGGACTTTTTGCCTGGACACTGGTGCCCATTATTATGCATTGTATATTCACTGCTGTTTGTTGTGGCTTGAGAGTGCCTTTCTGTAATGATGCAGAGGGGTCCACTGAACCTTGAAATAAAGATATTTAAGCACATCTACATGCAATGTCCCTTGAAGCCAGATAGTCAGGGAAAAGGTGTGCCATTACCTAATTTGCCAACAGCACACCAATGGTCACGATCAAAACTCGCCGAGTCAATGGGCAGTTTTCCACCAAAATATTTATTGCCGAGTAATCACCAATTTGGTCCATCAAAGTCTTGAGCCTATAGCCTGTAGCACATCCATTCTGAATCTGCAAAGCTTATGCTGTAGACATGCATCATCACATGAGCATGTTTCTTATCAATCTTAAACGTAAAACGCTAGTTATGCAACGACATTCCCATATCATCACATTCTTAGCAAATTGAATGGTCCCACCTGTCACACTGTTAGCTTTGGAAGTAAACCAATTCACAATACCACCAGTAGCGTACATTGTGCCAAGCATATTAGTGCCACATGTGGCACTAAAATGTCCTAACTAGGGAAGCAAACTTAATCGATCGTGTTGATTAAAGCACTCAAGTACGGGCGAAATTATCAATCAAAGAAGGTCACTCGAAAGGAAAGTTTTCTCGCTGAGCGAATATGACTTTTTATTGGGCGTTCCGCAATGTAAGGCCGAAGACATTCACCCCGTGATCGGTACAGGAGCATTTTCAATCGGTCGTGCGTGATAAAAACAACAACAAAAACAAAGGTGGATTAGAAACGCTATAGATGCGCCTTTGCACGGAGTACTTACACTCAAAATCGTGTCAACATAAAGCGACTATGGCCCACCTTGCTAGCAGCAATCTTAAAAATTTATCCGTGTAGTCGTCGCACCCATGCACCATATACGGCTCTGCCATGCACCAACCGAAAGCGTTGCTGCAAGCCCCTCCGCCGTCAACTTTGAGTCGCTGTCGAGTCTGAAGAACTTTGCTCTATGAGGTCCATATCCAGCCACTGAGCACATACACAAGCGCAGGGAATAATACTCGGTTCCAAGTACAAGTGAAGAACCCGGGTCGAAAAGCCCTGAATGCCCAACGACCGGCGTCGGGCGACGGCGACTGACTGCGTAGTACACAGGTTGCGCTCCTTCGACGCCTGCATCGCTGCGGCGGGTGGTCGTAGCTAGTCGTAGCAGTTCGTGTGATCTCCGTTGCTCGTACCGGAACACTAGAGCCGCGTAATATTCTTGCTGTCGAAGTTTATCAGCCTACGTTCGCGACCAACGCGTTTACACAAAGCCAACGCCCAGCGAACCTATCCCCCACGTTCTCATTCAGCGACCGGCCGCCAGGGTGGTGACACCGTCGCTGAAACTCCTCAATAGCTCCCACATCCTGCACCGATGCTGTACTTTTTATTGAAATTGCACCCGAGCAGAGTCCACAGATCGAGTGCATGCGTTTCGCCGCAAGGCACTGCACATGCAAGATTGAGGCAGGTGAATAAAAACCCTTATCTGCTCTCGCAGTCAATCAAACAGCTTCAATTGCATGTATGCATAGGCCAGTGGTCTTGGTGTTTCATCAGGCAGCTGGACTGCATTGTAATAACAAAGCTGAGAAATCAATTTTAGGGAAACATTTAAGCACAAAGCTAACACTGCCTCAACATGGCATGTAAAGGTGAAATAAACAAGAAAATAAAAAATAGAGCTTATCTTTCAAACTGATTTGCCCCTTCTGACCATTACATGTCATTTTAACGTGCCCATCTACAACGAAACAACTCCAGCAATATTGCATATTTTGATATGCTCCCGCTTCTCACTGTAGCGTTTTTGTATACAAGCTTAGTGTTTGGTCCCACCTGTTATAACTTGTGGGTACTCAGGTTAGGAGAGCTGCAATAGGGGGGCATGAAGAGATGCATGCGGCTCACGAGCCGCAGTTTGGCCCCTCCTGATATTCTCTTTACTAAATATTTGACTTTCTTCTAGTCTCCCCCTTCGGTCATGTATACATATGTGACACATATGACTAAATTGACTAACTTTTCAGGTTACCAACTTGGATGAAATGTTTCTTTTATGGCACTGATGCTTATTGCAGAGGTTTCCTGAGCATGAACCCTGACCGTGGCACCAGAGCCAAGCGCTCCAAGTCAGAAGTGAACAAGAAAGTACTTAACCTGGTCAAGAAAATAGCAGAGCTGGAGTGGAATGTGTGAGGCTGTAAGTATGATTCACTACAGTGTTTACTTAATAAATGGGAAGTGAACATGAGACTCATTTTGAAGAGAAGCAGAAGAAAGTGAAATAATTCAATGAGCGTAAGAGTCCACTGTCACTAGAGAGGAAGAATAATTCTCAGAGATAGAGAGATGCAGGGATACATTTGCCACTAACGAAGAGTATGTGAAGGTTTTGTAACAGACCACTGTCTTAGCAAACTACAAGCATTACTCACTGGTATTGTGTGTTTGTCTGCCAGTGATGAATTTACAAAAAAAATGTTTTCACTTTGTTTTTTGCAAAAAAAAAAAAATTGAATTCGGCGCTTGATTAGTACTTCTCGTGAGTCGGCACTTTTATCAAATTATCTCTGCTGGATAGCAAAACAATGATATCACACAGCTTATTTTAGAGCAAAATTTCTGGCTGTAGACAGGACCTGGAAAGGTTAGTTCGTGAAATATTGAAGGCAATTTTGCAACTGTTACCCGTCTGGGAGGGGATGTGATGAAGTAGTTTACAATAATGGTTCTCCATTGAGTCTGGCGAATGAGTGTATAATCTACGAAACGTTTGGGTAAAGTTGCATGAATTCTTTAATGCTGTGAAAAGGGGATGTCAGGTTTCAACAAATAATGTGTTTTGCCAGTCGAGTTTCATGGCAAAGGTCAGTGACTAACACTCTGGACAGACTGACATGTCGCACTGACAGATGCAAATAGCAAATAAATGGTGGTCACTTAGCCATGATCCATGGCATCTAGTCACCATTGTTCCAAAATAATTTGATGGCCTAGTTAATAAACATAGGACACCAAACTAGTGCAAAAGACTCCTTAATTTTTATTTTTATTTTTCTTTTCATTAGTTTATCACTTAAGACTTTTCCTTATTATTTTTATAATCTTTTTGTGATACATTTTTTTGTGCTTTTACTTTTTCTTTATTGTATTTTTTTTTTCTTCCTGTTATTTTAGCGCCAATGTTGTCTTTGTCTTCCTCTTTCCTCTCATAAAATGTCAGGTGTAAGTAGTGCTTTGTCCTGTCTCATTCTTTCTGTGTTTGTCTTTTGCGCTGATTTTGTGCATCATTGTTTGCAGAGTCCCACCCAGCTTGTCACCATTGTGGGAATAATGGGATCACATAACGATCACCAGTGTGTGGTCACCTGACCATACTGCAAATAGTGAATCGGTCATAGTCAGATGGTCACATAACCACACACACCGTGCATCTGAGTGAGCCCAACACATTCTGACCTTTCATAGCTTTTGGGAGCATAATCAAGCTTGCCTAAATTTTTTCTTACATTGTTGTGATACTGCTCATGCCTACATTTCACCACACATTACTTCATCCCATTATTATAGAAAGCAGTGAATAAGACCCTGCTTCATGGCTGGACCATCAGAGTGGGCTTGAGCAAATAATCAAAATTTATTGCTGCTCTGGACAATATACTATTCAATTTTACTTTTGTAAAATTGATGCTGTGCTTTCAAGTTTGGGAATTTTTGGCATTATGTGTGGTCTGTCCAATCTAGTTAGCCACCACCGTTGGGCGCACTCTTAACCATACACTTGTGCACCACAAAGAGGTGGTACCCACAGGTTTCACACTGATTCTGCATATCTCGTCTTGCTGTAGCAGAGGCGCATGCTTGGGAAGGAAAGTTGTCATTTAAACATATGGTCCAAATGTCTTTGAATAGACAGGGAAGTTGAGAAATGATAATCTGAAAATTCTAAGTTGGTGTAAGATTTCAAAAACCAAGTTGTTTGCTAGTACCGGGTCTCCTAAAAAGTTCACGCACTAACATGGCCCACAAATTTGAACATGTATATTATTTAGTGCATGGATTAAATGATGGAGATGTTAGTATTGTTGATAACAGTGTGGACATATCAAGTAGTAATATTTCTAGAACGGATATATCACTAGTTAAATTTACTTGTTAGAATAAACATAAAAATCTTTGTTAAATGCAATTGTTGTGAATAACTATATTACAGAATTTTTGTCCCTGAACTTGACACTAGTGGTAACACAGGGGTGGGAAAGGAAAGCAGGCATTGTCTTCTAGTTTTGAAAGGCAGACAGATGTATCTTAATGTAGTATTCACGACAGAATGAATAGGAAGTGTGCTTTCGAAATCCAAAACTTCCTTTTGTTGCTTGAAAATATATTTTTGGCTGGCCCAGAAGGTGCTCCGAAATTACTCTGACCGTTTACATCACATCAGCACTAGCTTGGAGTTACTTTCCTTGATTTTTTCAGTCTGTGGTTTTCTACTCATTCTGTTCTGTTTGAATATGTCTGTTGAAGGTCGGTCATCCTGTGTGGGAACGAGGCATGCAACATGGGGCTCGGGCTCATTCAACACAAGGTCTTGGCACCTGGAAGATTTCAGCAGCCATAAGCAATGGCACTTGGGTCTAAATTTGGTGAGTATGATAATGATCGAACATCCAGCTGCTTGTGTGAAAAAAAAATGGGGGGGGACACTTATGCTCGGCCTTAATGTATGACACGACAGCGGGAGGGCAGGGGGTGGAGGAGGAGAGGGGAGGTGGGGGCAAGGGCAGGGAGGGCAGCAGTGGGGAGGCGGAATCCTATGATCCCTTGCATGCACAAGGGATCGTGGCGCAAAACATTGAGGGGTTTTCTCAACATGCCGACGCTGGACGCCGGTTCTTTTGTTGCATTAACACTATTGGGTTGAAACATAACTTACCTAGGCTCACTTAAAACTCAAGCATAGCTTTACTACGCTGCCTATAATTACATGAAAAAATGTCTATGTGATGCTAGAAATGAGACATGGTTAGCATGCAGTCATATATTTTAAGAGAAATGATGCCACACTAGGTATAGTGCATCTTATACATGGCAAATATAGGTCGATGAAATGAGAAGCATGTAAGTGGCAGCTGCATCACAAGCTGTCCATGTTTATTTTGGATGTCATCTCAAATTGAAGTGCTGAGCACACTGCTTTAACCATTTGTTTATCTGAAGTGACACTAGGCACAATGCGCAAAGATTCTATTGCCAGCTACGCCTGACGTGCCTGACGTTCGCAGCTTGCCCTGATGCAACCGGCCACGACTATTCATATCTCTTATGGTGTGAACATGTCAGAGAAAGATTAATGATGCCCTTTTCATTAGTGCACGGTGGCAAGAGAATTGCAGCTCTGGTGGTGGGGAGAGACTAGTTCTACGTTAGTGCCAACAACAGTCAACCAGCTTAACTAGACGAAGAGGAGGAGTTAATTTCTATGTGTGCTGCTTAATTAATGTCAACCCCTGATTTTGAGAACAAACTCACTCAGCTCTTAAGTTGAAAAATGTCTAGTATGTGAATAGTAGGCTTTCCCATAAAATAGCTGTATTTTTGTACAGCACTCTCTGCCAAACTTGGTGCATATCCTCTCATTCGTTAGCCCAGGTATATAGGGGCTGTGCTGGAATACTGAAATGGTATTCGAGAAAACCAGAATACATGTACCACATGGCTAATATATAGCTACTGAGATATAATGAAGTTTGATTTGATTAGGAGAAGCTAAGCTAGAGGAGGGGGGGGGGGGGGTTCAGTTGTCACGTAAAGCTTCTTTCAAACATTGTAAACAATATCAGCATCATTAGTTTCTTTGCACAGTGAATAAAGCGTGGCTAACATTATACAACATATCTGTTAAATTGCTTCTATTTTGGCACATTTATATATGTTATTTTGAGAAAATTAGCGCAAATACAAGGAAGGAAGAACGTTGGGACAGGAAAGAGCGCTTGATGCAGCGGGTCGCTGCATCAATGTTAGATTGAGAGAGCATGACCTCTCACTGAAAGCCTCTCCATCTGGACATCTTGCGGTGCATGTTCGTGACTGTCATTGTACCCCTTTGTTTAATCAGACGAAGGTGTTAAAACATCTCAATGACAAAAGAGCTAGAGAAATCTATGAAGCATACAAGATCAAGAAAGAAGAAAGCAAATGTGTTAGTGCCCCGTCAGTCTTCCTTTCAGAGAAAGAGCTGAGATACCTCGACACGTGCCCCTGATATTTGCGTCCTGCTGCTTGGTTACCGGCAACAGTGTCGCCACTTCATGCTGGAAGAATTTGCCGGTGTCCCGTGTGTGTGTGTGTGCGGCTACTACAAGTGACTCATGTGTGACCAATAGATCTGCGGGATGGTCACCGGCAGCAGTTCGCCTCTTCATGCTCGCAAAGGGTTTGCCGGTGTCTCGTGTGTGTGCTGCTAGTGCTGCTGCCTGCGCATTTGCCGATGCGATTCTGCAGATCTGCCTTTATTTTATTTTATTCTATTTTATTATTTTATTAATTTAATTTGTATTTTCACCTTAATTATTTTCGCTCTCTGTATCACTTCTTTTTTGTCAGTACTTTGTTCCCCTCTCCGGGTTTGTTTTCTTTTTCTTTTTTCACCTTATAATTAAAGCCAGTTGTAAGTAGCGCTCTTTCCTGTCCCAACGTTCTTCCTTCCTTGTATTTGCGCTAATTTTCTCATTATGTTTAGCCAACTAGCCCACCAGATGATTTTATATATGTTATATTGATAACTGGTTTCTTTCTTTTCCAGATCAGAGTGTATATGGACCTGGGTCCTCATCATCCAAGTAAATAAATGTTCTGTTTTTATTTCTATCCTACACATAATTTATGCTGTGTTCTGGCTTAATTGCATTTGCATGTACATACACAACGATCGCATTGCAGACATGAAGACCACACTACAATTACAATAAACAGCATGCCACATATATTACAGGCACAAAATGGCTAACCTAAGGAGACTTCATGACCCATTGTTTGATTCATTGTCTGTTGACCAGTAGTAGGAAGTAAATCGAAGCAGCAAAACATGTGCGGTGAAACGCTAAGCATGTCATACAATGCGGTGGGAAGATTATAAAATCCGACAATGCTTACTTTTGTCGAACTTTGCATACTTTCTGACGTGTTGTACGAAGTGCTAGCGCTTCATTGTGCCAGCATTTTGCACCTTCAATTTACTTCTTACGATGGCCAACTGGCAGTGAATTAAACGGTCAACATTTTTACGGTGACCATTAAATTAACAGTCAGTTGACCGGCAAATAAACTGCCACCATGCCGTGATCTTAGCGGCAGTCATTAAATCTCGTTTACGGTCTGTTCAGCATCGTCCCGTAAAATTAACGGTATCTTTTTTTACTGCGACCGTTTAATTTACTGGGAGATGACGGTCAGGCAGTAAATTTGAATTTACGGTCTGCCGTATAAATTACGAGAAGTTGCTGGCAGCCAGAATGCCAGTCAACTTACCGTAATTTTGACGGCCCATTTTTTACAGTGTCCAATCAGAGCTCGGTGTTCGTCTCTTCCTCGCCCTTACTTTCTCATCGCATAGGAGGCTGGATGGCGCGTGGCTGCTTTATCGAGCCTGGCGCAAGTGAGGCCACCGGAATTTCGATGCTTGTTCAGGAAGTCGGGTCTCTGCTGGGCTTCCTAGAGCATTCGGTCAATATTTTTGTCTATGCTTTCTTGTGTCTTTGAGTGGTTTTGAATATTTCTGTTTTTAATTAAACCCTGATAATAAGGCATCTTAACGGGGGATAAATGCGAACTTGATCAACTAGAATCTCAAAATTTTCACATGGAATGGCTTCCCGGGAGACTTCTCGGGTCTGTATGCGCTGTTACTGTGCAAAAAGCAGGCTTCGTTCCTGTGGCTTCATACCTGTTTGCTCAATGTGCCATCCAGCCCCCATGCGGAGATCAGTGTTCAGCCCTTATATGTTCGTCGATTCCAAAAGCGAGCAAAGCACGTGCCGTGCGTACAAGCGCTAAAAATGGCACCTCGGCTAGAAGCTCTTTTCTACCTACGACCTGCTACAACCGTGACTCGTGCATAAACTGGCGCTACTCATTAGAAGCCAAGCACCATTAGCAAACAGGTTTTTCACAAAGTGCGTTCAAATGGCGTTCAAATGATTTGAACGGGGCATCTTTGAAGGCAGTCAGAAATCGAGTAATATATTTTACTGGCTAGTGCACCAGGCCAGCCATTGGCCCCTGCCGGAAGCGGCGGATGCCCACCGTTATTAGAACCAACTCAGTTCTGGAACTCCGCTCCGGAGGGGGTCCCTTTCCGTGGCGCCTGTTAGAGGGCGCGCGCTCCACAATAATACTCGCTATCATCATCATTGACGGCGCGCTTGTGGCCGTTGTATCTGGCCTACTGAGCTTACGAATGGTCGTGGCGCTTTTTCTGACAGTAGCAGACGACTTTCAAATTGTTTCTGCTGCAGTTGGTAGACACATATGAGAAATTCCAATATTTGTTTTAAGCAATAAAACATTGCATCTGTGTTCCTGTTGATTCTGAACCACATTCCAAGTGTCGTCCGCTGTCGGCGCAAAATAATGATCGCGCGCGCGCGAACGTTCTTTCGTTTGTCTGCAACCACCGCGACGGGAACGTCCGCGCGCATTTCACGCCTCGGAAAAACAACACAGAGAAGCTTATAGCAGGGCATGAGAATTCACACATTGTTCAAAACTTGTGAAGCGACAATCTGTGAGTCTACATTCTTATCAGAATATGCCGGTCGCGTGGTCCGCACCGGAGTGTCGATATCGTAAACGGTTGGTGCCAGGTACTCAGACGCCACATTTATTCAAAGTTCCTTGAAACGAGAAACGACGCGTCTTAAAGGAGAGAAACTTTCCTTGGCGAGATCTATCGGACAAGGACGTCCTCTGTGATTTGTGCTTCAGGAAAACGTAAATTTTAAATAAATTCTAAAGTACTTCGAGCACGATATTCGTGGAGCAGTCGTCGTAGCACCACGGGCTAAGTGGAGTCTGAAACCCGACGCCGTCCCCAAGCGTTATTGCAACCTTCCCGGAATATTTGCCGCGTTCTGAAAGGAAGCCTGAAAGTAGGCGGTCACCTGTGACACCTCTGTGCGAAGATGTCCTGGATGTCCGACCAGCAATGGCATTGCCCTGTTAAGACTGCACATCTACTACTACGGTAGAAACTCGCTTTGATTGTAGTCACCGGATTGTAGAGGCGCCGACGAATTCTAGTTGTTTGAAACGCTTCACGCTGTCAGCACAGCTAAGCCAGCGGCATTTTAAAATAATGCAAAGCGTATGCCAAAACGGTCGTAGCGCTTATCATGCTCAAATTATATTTTTTACTGGCGAAAGGGCAAAAATTAACCAAAAACCATGCTGAACCTCGAGAGGAGTCGGGACTCGCAAGCAGCCGCGGAGCAGTAGCAGACGAAAACGCGTGGAATAATGCGCCGGCTGCGCCACCTAGCTGGAACAAAAAAGGACACGGTTTCGTATCCCCTCCAATGTACAGCGTCTATGGGAAGCTCCATAACTGAGTTGATCCAGTAACGGTGGCGGATGCCGGGCTAGTAGCAATACTCCGTTTCACTTTCAGTATGAGCCTAGCAGAAGCTACAAGAGCAAGCTCTGGGCTTTCAGCGTCCCTGCCAGGCACGCGCGCCCGTGTAGTGTAAGCACAGTTCAGGGCCATATGCTCGTGCTTGTAGCATTGGCTGCATCTCGACTTAAGATTAAACGAAGTATAGTAGGGCGAAGAAAAGCTGGATCGCCTAGATTAGTGCCACTAAGTAAGCTACGCTTCAGAGTAACGACACTTGGCCATATCGTGGTTTAGAATCATGGTTGCCAGTTATCTGAAGCTTTATCTGAAATCACAGGAAACGCTTTTCCGTCCTCCATGAATGTTTAAACAGTAGACGACAGAGCAAAGCAATATCACATGACCTTCCTAACACCGAATATAATGCTGAGGAAGTCGCACTTTTGAATCATGACGATTGGCAGTTGCGTCTGCTCCACACAAGCACCAAAATGGGGGCACCGACAACAATTTCGGGGAACGGTGTGCCGATACTCTAAGCGCAGCTCATGTAGTGGCTCTAACCTAGATCGGTGGCGAACAGCCCGTGGCCCGAGCCAATCTTGTGTGTCCGAGCTGCATTTCCGGCTCGGAACTGGTTTGTTCCGGAAATTGTCTGCACCGCCTTTGAGGAAGAGGCTACAAAAAAGGGCGATGCAGCAATTTTTGTTCCTTCAGTAAATACCACTTAGAATTATTCCTTTAATTTCATGACCTATAAAATACCCATTTGTAGTTTTCCTTCCATATGCAATGGCACTTGCCCAAATAAAATCGAGAAAAAGTAACAGCGTTCACCCCAATCACACTGCGACCCCAATCAACTCGCAGTCAGAACGAACGTCCACGTGATGTGCGTGGCCCTTTATTTGCAGTGTTTGTCATAGCCACGAGCTTTAATTGACAAAGCACTGGGCACGCGCCGAGGAAGATAATAATAACTTTATTCACCATATCACATTAGACGGGAGCTGGAGAAAAAAGCTGACAAAGCAGCTTGACTACTCGAATGCATGTCGATGGCATCATTTGTCACCAGTCCAAATCGAATGCTCACGCAGTGCTTGTGTCCACTGTATCAGGAGCATTGAAATATCGTCACTGCAGGGGCCGCAATTGTTGAGACGAAATTCTGGTGATCCCGTTGCTGATTGTCATAACCTCGCCACCAAGCTTTACACACACACAAAAAAAACGAAAAAAAAACGACCTCTTTTATTTTTTAAATTACGCGGCAACAAAATTAGAAGCTTGATTGCTAGTGGCGTTACGGTCGATGATACTTGGGTCCCATATAATGCCTAAAAGCTTGTCTAGAGTGAAAAAAAAAATCATTGCCTAATGTTGTGGAACGACCTCATTAGGTGCCGAAGCATTATCTGATGTTTCGTAGGAAGCAGCGTATAAGATCTCGTACGCAAAACGCCCTTAAGTAAGAGAGATCTGTGCGCAAAGTTCACGTCCAAATTGAATTTGAATGTAAATGAAGATGAAATAGATAGGGAGGACCAAGTATAAAATGGTCGCTTATTCTAAAATGAATAACCACTGAATAGAAGTATCATGCACTTCATTAGTCAGCTCTCTGGGTTGCCCAGTATGACCTCAATAATGTCGGTGTGCGATCTTTGATGCGGTAGTTTACGCAAGGGAATTTTGTCTGCGTTCGTAAAACAACCCGCCATATAGTGTGTCGAATGTTTCCTATTTAAAGTGGCACTGGAATTATTTTTGAGAAAGGTCGTTTTTGATCTTATATTGTTTAAAATGTGTTTGTTCTCACATATACCAAGTCCTATATCACAAAACCGCTTTCTCATCTCTGGGCAAGAGAAAAACATGTGGACTTTTTTTTCTCGCGGAGTACACTATGTGGACCAATGAAAGCGCTTCAATACGCGGAGATTCCGAATGATTTTATTATAAGGTGTCTGGAAGAGAGTCTGATAGGTACACATTCGTATGAGACTCCTCTGTTTCTCCCAGGGCGAAGCCATCGCTTAAAACTCGCCGACAAGAGCGCTTCGTCGACTAACTTTACTCGAAGAAAGGTCTTCTCAAAAAGGGCGTGTCGCGATCTTGAAACACGCTTTTAACGAGGAAATAGTCTACGCACGGTTGTGGTTTCGGGTTTGTTGGGATGCTTAGAGCGTCCAAACTGAGTTGTTGCACCAAAAGTACGATCTCAAAACCGACTTCAGTGCCCCTTTAATACTTTTGTAAAATAGAAAAAAAAAAAAAAGCGAATAGAACAGGTACAAGAGTTAAAGCGAAAAGTAAACGTTTTCGTTTCCACTGCTGTGCCACATGCTCAACAACACGCTTCTTTTATGGCCAGCTGGGGATATTTGCCAGCAGTAAAAGTTATTTCCGTGTGCATAAAAAAAAAAATCGGACGGTTTCAGAGAAGGCAAGGAAAAAAAT